ATCTAGATTATATCTAAATTATATAAGAAAATCTAGATTACACACACACACACACACACATATACAAAATTTAGATCTTTAGTTAATATATTTATTTAAATATGCAAAACGAGATTCACTAAGAATATTAATTATCATTCGCTGGGTTATTCTGCTGAATCTACAAATTATTTTTCTATAAGAACAAATTGGTGAATGTATAAAGAAAACATTATTTTGTTCTAACGGCAAATTAACGTGTCCTAAGGAGAAATTCACTCAGCACGATTTTTCTATCCTGACAACCAAACTGTTTCTGCTCTAATTCGCTAATCTGCCTGTGTCAATTAAATTTTCTCGCTGTCGCAACGAATACGCGGCAGCAACGATGGTTTCGCCGCAACAGCAACATTATTTTTCCCCGTGTACACATGCAAGAAATCGCTACGAATAAATCGCATTGATCTTAACGAGTTTTGTAAACACCCATCACCTTTCAGGCCGGAAAACCCATTTTTTTACTCACCGAACCGCTTCGAAGTCAGGGCCGGTCGCGTTCTGCTTTCGGATCTGTAACAAAAAGACAACATCGTCGAATAGATGTAAGAGTCAAGCTTACAAAGCAAATGCTAACGTAGATATGGCTCGTCGATGCTTTCCGGCCGCGTTTCAATGCTTGTTATTTGTGTTATTTTGACAATAAGATCTCGGTTGTCGACGGAGGAGAGCCGAATGGAAGAGCAAAGAGAATCAGGAAACCTACCTTCGAGCCGACCCTGTGCCCCCGAACCGGATTCTTCGGTGTAGCATCCGCATCCACCGGAATTGCGACTGCACTTTCGTAATCCCGCCGTAAACCGGATCTGAAACAGAAAATATGTTTTCTGTTTGTTTTAATCAGTTGTGGCAATAGAGAAGAAGGTTGCTCGATTTCGACGGATCGAGTATACAGAGATATTTGATACATTGATACCAGAGATATCGTTCTCTCAACCACGTGTATTTCTTCTCTTAAAATCAGTAAAAGTGGGTATTGTGATAGTCGCAACTGTGATTTTAGGATGCTGTCACTATATAGAGAAAAAAGTTTCTTTAGATTTAGTTATATTTTAGATTAATTATGTTTTATACATAAATTAGTGAGAGAAACATAACAACAATATTACAGCGTCAATCAGTGATGATCTCCATTAATTATCTCCGTGTCAATTATTCCGTGTACATTCCGATGACGTCCATCGCATTCTCGTGTGATGTACAGCTATCGATTATCACGATCTTAAGGCTATTAATTATTATTATGCCCGATTCACGCTTACAACGCTGTAAGCGTCATCTATCTTTTTTTTGGCGCGTAATGAACAATAAATATAGAATGACGTTCACAGTGCTGTGAGTGTAAATCACACGGAGAAAAAAATTTTGCTAGGACAGCAAATTGTTTGTTAATATAGTGACAGCAGAAAAATTTGCTTGGACAGCAGAAAGATTTGTTAAAAGTATTAATCGCTATTTGCTGGACATATGGACAGCAAAATAATTTGGTTGTGCCAACTAAATTTTAATGCCTTGCTAACGACGCTTTGCTGTAACAGCAAAATTATTTTTTCCATGCAACGAATTTTTTTTACTGTCACTATATTAACAAACAATTCGTTGTTCCGGCAAAATTTGTTCTCTCCGTGCAGATCACGGCCTAAGACGTATTATTATTTACGTGTTATTAAGATAATCAATGAAATTATGATGATTATGATAATTACGATGATTGAATAAAAGAATACAGACAATCCGAGAGCTTACCTTAGCAGCGACTGTTTTCGGCTCGAAACGTTGCATTTGCATTCGCAGGAAATGCATCCCTAACATTACGTCCGCCTGTGGCGCGAAACTATGCTGAATCTGGAACAAGAAATAGTTTTCCTAATTAATTACAGGGATAGAGTGGTTTACGCGGTCTGGGTGATTCAGAAATACAGGAATTCCGACCGTATTTTTTTTTTCTCGATAAGAATGAAATGTAGAGGTCGCCCTGTAAATTGGTGCCGTTGCTCGCACAGTGACCGGCGGCGCGTTGACTGCAACGAGAGCATCGTAAGTTCTCATTACGTTCCGGCTTCGATTGTTTTAATAAAATCAAAAATAACGCCCGACACTGTCCGACGTGTTCGCTCACTTGCGTTTCAAAGCAATTGTTCTAAACTATGAATGCTCTCAAGCGCGCGACGCGCCGAAGATCGCCGAAGACCTTCAACGTAATACAATAGGTTTATTGTGCTCTCGCATTGATATTTCTATAGGAAATCATCTTAAGGCTCCTATGACCGTCCTTCTTTGACGAGAAACCGTTAGAAGCGAGAAATCGCGTATGCTAAAATATGTTGCGGTTTACGTGGAGATAAAAAGACATACAACGCACAAAGTGACATTCTCGTAATTAACTCGGCACGCTTGTAAAAATATCCGAACGCTTTCCTTTAACCTCAGTAATTGATAAATAGCCGAAAATTAATGCAGCTTATTAGTTTTTAACTTATCTTTTCTCATGATTTCTATTAATTTTGCAGCCACTTACTGATTGTTCAGATTGAAGGAGAGTGTCCGAACATTTTCACAAGTGTGTCGAATCTATCACGAGTGCTATTTTGTACGCATATTCTTTTATTTCCACGTATAACGTAATTATATCATAATGTAAATATAACATAATAATATATTTGATATGCGGCTTTTTGTTTATGACGTCATCAAATAAAAACAGCCAAAGTGAAGACACGGCAGCCGTAACGCAGAGTTGTTTTACGGTATTTTAACAGTATGTTCTCTCTCTTTCTCTCTCTCTCTCTCTCTCTCTGGAATTCCTGACTGAAGTCGAGAATTCTGATCACGTCATCCAGAAGTACTATGATTCCGGAGATTTTCCTTCCATTCTGTAATTAACGCACCTCATTGATCTCTCGTGATTAATATGATTAAGATTATACTTTAATAGCAGGTTGCTTAACCGTTGCGTATACACGAATCTTCTCTATAATTCACGTATACATACGTGAAGCCGTCGACCTAGCCCTAGGCAACGATCGTATCATTCACGTGAGGGATACGATTATATCCATAATAATAGCTTTCGATGTAGAAATCAGCAACGCGTAATTCACGATTCAACAACCCGCTCAATGAGAATTAATCGGTGAGCTGCGCGAGTGCGAGGTTCGGCGTAACTACATTATAGACACAAATTGCAATTATACACATTCATTGCACGCTCGTTCGCGGAGAGAGGTGGAATATTTGACACAACTCGATGCATTACGCGCACGACGCAATTCATTATGCGCCGGGGGAGCATCATCGTTAGACCTTTCGCGTCAAACGCGTTTCGAAACCTCGACGCTTCAAAACAGACGAATCCTTTTTAACCTACGAATTTTTCCCTGTAATTTTTCCCCCGACAATTGCATCGAAATCATCGAGGCGCGGATGATTTCGGGTCATAAATGAATGAAAAGAAGAAATATAGCGAAATATATTGCGAGAATATGAATATACAGAGTGTCCTGGAACAACCACATGCAAAGCGGTACCAAACAAAATAACTTTTTGTTTATCAAAATTCTGTTCGAATAATCATTTATAAATGAGAATTATTCAAAGTTGCCGAATTATTGTACAAGATGTCCGTTTCTTCAATTTATTTCTTGTGAGTCTCGATCACAATATTTAGCGTCGGGTATCAACAAGTTGAAGAGATGACGCGGCCGATAAAGTTCTTGCTCACAGAAGGCGTAAAGTCGATCACGGCTTGGTGAAATAAATTTGTCGCGAAGAGATTGAGATGGATATTCGTTACGAAATGTTGTCAGTGCGGTCCCCATCGGTTGTACAACAACGGGTCAAACGAGTGGCCGCCCTGTATTGGCCAACGCTGCTGCATATTTATCGTGCCTAATTATACAGCCACTCCAGCTCGGAGCTCTTCAGAATCTGTCGTCTGAACCAGTTCACCACGGGCGTGCAGTTTCCCTCTCGAAATTTCAGCCACCTACCGCCTTCTCTTATCTCCGCTTATTACCTCATCGATCGACGGGCCGATATTGCCCGCGGGATTCCGAAACATGCCGCACCGTACCTGGAACAATTATCCCTTAATTAGACTTCGCATTGGGAACACACATATTTTATGGACCTCTCTTGCATGTCGATATGCTACTTTCATTAATATTCCGTTTGAACGTTTCGCCTGCTCCTGCGGGAAAAATATACATTGACTATCCTCATTTTTTTGTAAAAATTAAAAAGACATTTCATCTAATATCACTGGTCTGCGCGTTGAAACTTTGGGATCATTGTCCGAGCTTAATCAAGTTATTTAAGATCAAGTTAATGCGCTGAATACGAGTCCATTTCAATATTAATTCATTTATTGCTATCATCATCATAATCATAATCTGATATTTAAATTCATGTATTTTCGAATAGGTCTGGCGTTATATTAACAACGATAAATTGTGATAACATTAAATTGCGACATTGATATTAGATTAACCCTATAAGCGCGTAATAATCATAGAATATTATGTGAATATTATTCAATATTAAAATAATACTCCCATAATATTCTAAGAATGTTATAAAAATATCCTTAGAATATTAAAAAAATAAAATAATAATAATATAGAAAAATATATGTAAATAAAAAAATATATATACATATATATATATGTATAATTTTTTTAGTGTAAAACGTATTTTTACACAAAATTATTTCGCTTTATTTATGTAATAAAACAATTGGTATTGCAATACATTTGAGATAAAAAATTACGATTATATGTATTATATATGTTTCTAGAGTTGAATATTTAAAAAATATATAATATTACAATAATATTAAATAATATTATTAGAATATTACACGCTTATAGAGAAAAAATAATTTTGCGCGAAATGCAAATGCTATTATTGTCTCATAACTCTCTCTCTCTCTTTCTCAACAAATCAAATATTGATATTATTTACAGAGTCAATTACAGAGTCGTGACGACTGACGATCCACCAAACATGTTACGTGTCGTGGTCCTTCTGCTTTTATGTAAGTACAATTTAAACGCATTTTTTATTGATATCACGGACATATTTTCGATAAGTCAATACCGCCGGGGGAAGGGGGAACCGAGATAATGACGATATTTATTGCAAACATTTCCCAAGGCGGACAGTAATGAAAACTCTTTCGCGCACTCTACATAGTTAAACTCTGTAATAGCTTTAGCTCTGAGAAAATAAAAATATATCGTCATAGAACGTCAGAGAAAGGATGTATATTATATTTTTAGAAAATCACTGTAAAGCGTGCAACGGACAAATATACACCTGCAAAAACGTAGCCGGAAAGTATCGTACACTGAGCCATCGTACACTGAGAAAAAAATTTCTCCAAATTGAATTAATTTCATTGCATCCGAACACAAATTTCATCATTGGCATGCTCCAAAGGAAACTAATGTTTCGATCAATAAGTACGATCGTTAAACCTTTCAACGAATATATATCTTTACCTTAAATAAAAAATTGGTTTGAAACGAAAGATAACTTTCTCATCAAGAAACTATTTGTTTCATTTCACATATTTATCGTAACCAAATAACATTTTGCCTGGTTAAGAAATATTATTTCAAATAATAGCGTTTTTCCTGCTGAATAATAGAGTTTTCTCAAATGGGACGAATAAAATTCTTACTCAAACGAATAATACCTCGTTTATATTGTTCTTGTGAGACGAATTTTAGTCAATTAAATCGAAATATTAAGTCTAAAGAAATGTTCTCTGCGTAGGGAAAGATATTTCGCGACGAAACGTCGCCGACGGGGCCGTTCCTCGCGGCCATTCGTCAATGAACAAGAAATTCATCGGCGACGACGGATCGCCGGGATAAAAATACTCGCTCGCCCGCACGCACCGTCGTCCTGCTCCTTTTGTCCCGTCCTTTATCTTCCTTTATCTTCCTCGGTCTCTGGCATTTAAAGATCGGTGGAAATACGGGGATACAATCGGCGAAATGGCATTTGCGCGCGACGGTCGCCGTGGTCGTCTCTCTCCCGTCGGTGGTGGACAAACGATTAATCTCCATTGCGCCGAGCGCACGCGCTGGTGGGAGAGAGAGAAAGAGAGAGAGGGATTGCTCAATATTTTTATTTATTATTTCTCTTATCGGCGCCGCTCTCATCCGCGCCGGTGGCCGATAATTACCGTACCAATCGTGTAGGTATCTCGCGGCAGCGTGGGAGCGCCGTGGCATCATCCTGTCCTGTACGGATAAAGTCAAGGATTCGCTTCCGCGGCGAAGGTGAATCGGAGGCGCGACGGAGGATCGCTCGGCACGGGATTTACGGTCGTTTACTCCTCGGTCTCCTCTCCTCACTGCCCCGAGGAGAAGGAGGACGGCGCAATCTGCGGTACAGGAAGATCGATGTTGTTGACTCACCGACCATTCACGCGGCATTTGTCACCGCACTTGTCGCTGCCTCGAATCTCTCTCTCTCTCTCTCTCTTATTTCCTTTTATATATGTCGCCGATTCGTGAGGATTTTATACCCCTTTCGCGAAATTTGCGTACAAAGGCTTAGGAAGATAGTGTGCTTCAGCCACGTAAGGGGAAATCGTGAGAGACAATTAACTCGTATTTATTAACACACGCTCGACTCTCCGATCTCGCACGGTTAAGTATTCTCGCGCGCGCGGCGCGTTTAGAAATTCACACGTGACTGAAGTAAAATTGTCGTCTATCCTCGTGGATAGAAGTTCAATTTTACTCGCGGATGATTAGTGCATATTAAGTGGGAAATTCAATCGAGCGTCGATTAATATTTCACTTGTTTCCGATGACACGAGAAAACTTGACGATACGAAAAAAAGAACTTTGAAAAAACCTTTTCCCGTCATCATAACCTGTCATCACAATCGTCCCCTCGAACGACGCAATTTCTTCCTTAGACATTTTTTTCGTATCGTCAAGAACAAATGAAATATTTAAGATGCTCGATTTCAATGGACCACTGTGTATAATTTCGTCAGACGGTGTCGACAAAATTTCAGGTAATTACAAATAAGCAAATGTCAGCAAGTGGTTTTGGAACAGATGGTAGTTCAAAATTATGAAGTAATTTCGAAAGAGAGAAAGAGAGGGAAGGAGAGGAAGAAGGAGAGAAAAGAATATTAAATCTTATTAATAATTCATGATCGCGCCCGCTCTTCCAATTAAGATTATTTACTATGAAATGCGACTCGAGTGCGTTATTTTTCCACGTGCCCATTGCGAATCTATACATACAGCAATTCTCATAACGGAATAGAGATATCGGATTAACCGTAGCTGCTGAATAACGTTTGAGAAACTTCTCAACGTGGCGAAGTAGAAAAGTTCGCGAGCACTTCGTTGGAAACGCTGGATTCGATATCCAAGACTTAGAGTGCAAGTATGCGCGGAAAATTTTTCATCGCCACGAAAGTTCCGTCGCTTACCTTCGGGAAACTTTGCACGTTTTCCACGATCCCGCCGGGAATTTCGCGCGGGGGGGCAAGTTACGGGTGCGCGCCCGACTTCGTCCGTATCACTTTTTATCCATCTTTATTACTTTGTCGCATCTCTGTATTTCCCAATAAACTTCCCCCACGTCTCTAAATCCAACGTCATTACGTCATTTCTCCCTTTCCGCGCTCTCGAGCGCCCTCGAGCGTTCGCACGATCCTCGGGCCACCCAGCGGCCGCGTGAAAATTTCGCCTCATCGACGATATTTGTCCACACATTTCATTGAATGCTCGAAAAGGTGTCCCGTAATTAGTCTGCGGTGATATTTTCCGTTTCGCGAATTCCGGAGGGCCTTTCCGTTCCGCTCGCATAGAGGGTGCACGCATAGTGAAGCTATGCGGAAAAGTGGAGGGGACAACTTCACGGAAGCAATGAGAAATATTCATGTCGGGGGTGACGAGGTACATGAAAGCCGACTCTGGTTATCGTCCGCATTATTAAATACCGTGCGAATTTCTAATGCCGGCATGTCAAATACGTAAACAAAGTGGGCGAGGGCGCGTCGATCTCTGAACCCTATTCGAGCTTTTACGCGCAGTTTACGTAACGTGCAGCAGATACCGCGCGTTTTCTCTCGACCGTCGGTCCTTTGACGAAGTTTTTCCACGTCGAGATTTTAATTGAATGTCGTATCTTCCCTCTCTCTCTCTCTCTCTCTTTCTTTCTCTCTCATTCACTCACTTTTTCCCTCTTTCTCACATTTATTTCAATTTTCATCATTACGGTTATCTTTACAACTGTAATTCAAATTAACATTCCTCTCGGAATTAAGTTCATACGCTGCTAATTGCTCAGTTTATGCGCCCGCATAGCCTGTTTTTGAAGCTTCGTTCGTCCAAATTTCGCATGTAACTCAAAGATTACGTTTCAACGATGGGGCAGACAATTTCCTTGATTTAGCCACTAGAGCAGGATTTCCCAAACCTGCGTGAACCGCGACCTACTTTTTAGAACGGCGAATATCCGCGACGTCCAGTTTTAGTGAATATGAAGGGAGGGCGGAGGAGGGTAAATTAGTTAGTTTTATTGCTTTATTTATACTACTTTACCGCTCTTACCTTGTAATTTTTTATTGAATATGATTTCATAAACCCATTAACTCTAAATAGGCAATCTTGCAATGCATTTCTTCCAAACTGTTATGATTTAGAAGAAATAAATTTGTCACCACTAGTGGATAGCGACCGATATTTTGGGAATCCCTGTTTCGGAATGTTCGCAGTTGGAAAAAGTTACGCTCGAATTTCGAAACTTTATGTGCGACGTACGCGCACGAGACGTTCGCGTGTGCACATATACACCAAAAATATCAAAATATTAAAACATATTTTCTGCTTCTCTTTATTTATTTTTTCAAAAAAGTAATTTTATCATAACTAGAAAGCCTTACGTAATAAACGTCTCGTTTTTGGAATTTTTCCGAGTTATTTTTTTTTCTTCCTTTTATTTTCAGTATCCTCTATACATGTTTGAATATCTACACGTAACGTTACCCCGGATACGCACGCCAGCGATCATTCGGGCGCTTTAAAAAAAACCATTTCAGGTCTCTCTCTCTCTCTCTCTCTCTCTCTTTTCCTCTCTGGCACTCGGCGTTGAATATGTAAAATAGATTTTGCCGCTGGGCGCGCGGCACAAAATTGCTTATGAGCCGAAATGCGTTTGACGTCCACTGTAATGTTCCCGATCGTATCGGCAGCATCGTAATCCCGTCTGCGCGCGGCCTGTTCCGAGTTAAGCGGGACAAACAACGAGAAAAAGAGATCGCTATACACGATGCAATTTTATCATAATCCCCAGGACGGATTATACGGGCGTTATCGACCATGCCGGTGCCGATTCCGCTGGTGTACCCATTTGTCGATAAAGCTTCTTTGTCCGATGCTGTGGAAATCAGCCGAATGTCGTTCCCCATTCGCCATTTTCGCGCATCGTAGTGTTAAAGCGTATGTACACTCAGCGAACGAACAAAGAACGAACGAGCGAACGCAAACTTTCGTTTTTACATTTTGAAAAATGTGTAGGAGGACCCGAGGACACTTCAGCCCCCTTTTGATTTTGTTGAATATCTTAAAGAATGGAAGGAAAACCAAAACGTTCTTATGCAAATATCGTTGATATTCTAATAATAAGTTTTTAATTTTAATAATAATTATTTCAATAATAATACGTTTCCTACAGTTGAAAAGAAATATGTGACAAGAAAGAAATAATTCCTTTATAGGAAAATTATCTTTCGTTTCAAACCAATTTCTTATTTAAGACACGTATTCGTTGAAAATTCGAACAAATTCGAAAATTCGAGCAATCTTGTTAATCGAAACATGAGTTTCTTCGGAGCATGCCAATTCGTTTGGAACGCAATAAAATTGATTAAACTTGAAGAAATCTTTTTCTCGGTGTGTCATAACCAATCCGAACGGAACGTTTTTTGGGCGGATCCGCTCACGAAGCTGGCTTATCGGACGGTTTGAAAGAAAATTCGCGCGCGTTTCGACGCATCACACATTTGACGTTCGCTCGTTATTTGCTCTCCGGGCGTACACGCGCTCTTTTACGCAGTCTCGCCGGGAATACGAACGCAACACGGCCAGGCAAATATCCCCCATGGCAGCTATAGAACCGGCTATAGAACCTTCAGATTAGACCCGGCATGTCTGACCGACCTAATTCTGCGTATAGAGCGAAGCGCATGATTGTTTAATCCCCAACTCTAATTCCCGCTTCCGACTTGCAGGTATCGCCGCTACTTACACGCCTGGTCACTGCGAGGCGAGGGTGAGTGTAATTCATTCTTTCTCTTTCTCTCCTTCTCTTTTCAATTTGCACAAGGGGCTCGGAATAAAAACGGCACGCTCTAACTTCGCTTTTCGTTACGGCTTCCCCGTCGTTTTGTACTTGTCCGACGTCTACCGCCGTGTAATCTCACTTAAAGCAGCCAGATGCGTCTCTTTTTTCCGCCCGGGGACTCGAAGCGGTCCCATTTGACGCAGTTTTTACAAATACCGCTGATGTAGTATGCGGAAAATGCGCGTCTTGTGCTAATTCTTCAGTCCGTTTCGGGATCGAACCGTCTTTGCGCGCCGTTCTTATTTCGAGCCCTTCTAATTTACCTAAGCAACGAATGAGGAGTCCAGCTCGTGAAAATTCAGCTATTTCGTACACGTAGACAACGAAAAGATCCTAATAATAACATAATTATTACGCTCCGTTGATTAAAATTTTAATTAAACGCCTCGCCGCAACCCTCTCAGTGTCACTCTTAATTTCACGAATAGGTCAGTTTAATTAATTACGCCGGGTGATAACTTCAATATATAATCTGTGACTCTCTCGCCAAGTTTAATATTAAGTTTCAGAATTTTGCATTAAATTACGGAAATCATTGACAGCCCGTAAAGTTGTCCGGCACGCGCACGACAGAGAGAGTTTTTACACTCGCGAAATTATTCCTCGCCAGCCGACTCGTCGTCGGACGCTGGACGACGGTTCAGAAACATCACGACACCGTGTAAAGGGTGTCTCGCGAACAAATCGTCAAATTTCGCCAGCATATTGGGAATTCTGAACGGAAAATGTTGTACTATTTTATATTATATATTATATATTTACAAATATATATTTATTTACTTACTTATTTATTTATTCATCGTGAGCTTCATCTTAATTCTATAGAACCAAGAGCGTCGTCGGGGCGATGTTTCCGCTTCCAATCGAGCGGCTCTTTCGGCCAACGAAGTTAATTAGCGGCTGAGCAATTAAAGTCGCCGGGGCGCGGCGCGTTATTTCCAGTAATGCAATTTAACTTCCGCGGCATTCCATGTGCGGAGGCGGCACGGCGAATCATTGCCGGGATTTACGGCCGGTAATCGATACGGAGGGCGCGCGGGGGGTGCGCCCCCGTCGACGAGACGCGAAATTTCCTCCGCGTGTGTCCCCCCCCTCTTCCCCCTCCGTTACAGATGTAACGCGTATTTTAATTTACGGCCGAACGCGAGCGATCTAATTACGGAGGCTCGAGTCTCCCCCCTCCTCCTCCGTTCCTGCGCGCAAATCCCGGCCGGGTGAAAAATCGCTCGAATGGAATTACGATGCAGTGCGCCGGGAGAGTGCGTTTTCGAAGTTACCGTTAACGTCCGGGCTAATAAATACGACAGAATGGTGGGATACTCGCCGCGGGGACGAGCGACGCGCGCTCGCGTTTACCGGGTTAACCGTGATTTACGCGCCGAGGGCGCGTACAACGGCGCGCCGGACAACGGTTCGCGAGCGAATTTAATCAAACTTTCGGTATCCCGCGGGATCCACGCGGTAGTGCGGTATCGAATTTCACCAAGAGGCGGCTCGGCGACGAGCCGCTCACTCGCGCGTCGTTTCCGCGCGTACGCAAAATCCCGATGCCGCCCACGACGCGTTCCACGCTCGGCCGAGCGTGCGTGCGATCGCGTAAATTGATTCCGCTAATTATCGACACTTCGTCGCGCGCGCGCGCGCGAAAACCGACGCGGCCGGAAGAAATTCGGCCGAAAACTCGACGGCCTCCCGATGGAAATATTATGGAGCTGGGAATTTCACTGAGATTCTCCCTCAAACGACCACGTCTCATTATCGTTCCGTCGATGTTCTCGGTTGAGTTCAGTAAATTTTCGCGGTATGCTTGAACTTTCCTCGCGTTCGCGCGGAGGAAAGAAGGTTCCGCTGGAATAGCAAATGTTGGTTGATATAGCGACAGCAAAACATTTGTTTGGACAGCGGCAAGATTCGTTAAGAGTATTAATTGCTATTCGCTGGATATATGGAATACTCTTAAGAAATCTTTCTGCTGTCCAAACGAATCTCTTGATGTCGAAACGAATTTCTCCTCGCTGTCACTGTGTTGACGAACATTTGCCGTCCCGGCATAATTTGTTTTCCCCGTGCGAGCACTGCTGTGAACCCGACGAAAGTTACTGAAAAATTACTGAAATATGTATTAACAAATACTTGGAAATAAATCATAATTTTCATCGTGAAATTCAACGGCTGTGAAATATCATGTAAATTGAAATATAATTTTCGAAAGTGATTAAACAATTTTTGTAATATCGGGTATGACGGAATTCACAGAATTAAACTGAAAACTGCGTATATATTAATCAAATTGAGTCGATTGAGAGAGTATTTCGGCAAAATATTTCCATCAGGACCGTCTCTTTCTCTCTTTCTTCCCCTCTCTCCCTTTTCATCTCTTTCAGCGAAACAAATGAATTTTGCGTTTCCCGATCGCGGAATATTCAGTTCGTTCGTTCATTCATTTTTCGTTAATCTCATCGGCTGGAAAAAATACGGCCAAGTGGGACAAACCGATGACGGGCCCTCCTTGAGTTCAGAAGTTCCTCCGACCCAACGTAACTTCGGCGCGATAACGTCACCTGCGATGAAACGTCTGAATCCGGAGATGACGTAAAAATTGACAGCAATTAGACGTTGACGAAGATGAGCGAACTGAAATTACCTTTACTTTCTCGACGGGAACTCGCGTCTATTTGCCCCGCTGTCTGTGCTAAATGACGATCTCGCGGAAGATTAGCGATTCAAGCGAGAACGCCGACCTCGAAAGGAGGAAATAATTTCGTCCGGGAAGGATAAACCGCGAGTTCGAGTTGAAAATAGCGGTATTTTCTGGGAGAGACTCGCCGCGGAAACTCGCTGTTGCGCGGGAGTGCTTTTCCGCGCGTAGTAGTTCTACATTCTAAGAGCGTATTACGTTGCAGGCTTCGCGAGATGTCGAGCACGCGAGACTGCCGGAGTTCCTCTCGGAATTGGACCTGTCGAGTCTCGAGGCATCCGAGGAAGACGTCGAAGCGCTGAAGAAAATCGTGAAAAGGCTGGCGCCGGAGAAGAACGGCGAGTACCAAGTTTACCAAGGTTCTCTCTCAGACTGTCCTACTAACCTCGAGACTACGTCGCTAACTTTTCTCTCTTTTCCCCCTCCCCTCCCCCCGACCTGACTAAAGCAACTTGCTTTTTCTTCCATTGCCAGTCTTCTTCGGTAACGAGGACCTTCTCAAGGAGTGGCTCAAAGGAGCGGGTATTATTACTTAAAAGCGTCCTTCTCTCCATGTGCTGCATGCCGCCGTTTCTCTATTTTCCTCGACGTAAAACCGCCCTCGCGTCGTCCCGGCTTCGGTTCCGCTGTTATTACTCCCCCTCCCCCCAGTCCGCGGAATAAATTGTCGAACTTTTTTCTGACTGCGAGCACTCTTCCCGAATTAAAAACTTCTCTTAGAGCGGCCTTATTCGCGCGAGACTACTTTTCGAAGAATTCTCGAGATCGCAAGTGCGTGCGTGCGCAGAGAAAAAGATCCCTTCGGACTTCGCAAAGTCTCTTTGGTTGGAGCAAATCAATGTTTGATTCAACAAACACGATTGTTTGATTTTTCGAATGATAAATATCTTCACGTCAAATAAAATATTTTTTTTTGTATTTCCACCTGAATATTACAATGTAAAAGTGGTGGATTATTGAAAAAGAAAACAGTACTACGTTAGAGAAATATTAAAGAACTTTTCTTCTCAGTTGGACAATATTTAATATATAATGGAAGGAATTTTCTGTATTAAAAAAAACATCATTCCTTCTGAATAATACTGTTCCTTCTATCGGACAACGCGATTTACTTCGGCGAAACGATATTTTCATTTAAACAAAATATTTGATACTATGTCGGTACACAAAACCATTATCTTAAATCAAGAATAGGAATTCGCGTATATGAAGAAGAATATTATAATCTTCCTGAGAAATTTTTAGTCTTTGACATTCATCCGTAACTGAACTCTGAAATTTCGAGCGAGATCATAGTAGGTAAGCGAAATTCCAATACGGATGAGAAACTGCGAAATCAATATATTCGCTTTGCCGCATTTTACACCCCCCCCTCCCCCCGATGCATGAAGCTCACGTTAGTCTGGTTTCTTTACCTCAGCACGTCACGCAGGTGCACGCTTTTTCGCGATGCGCGCGAATTCCGCGTGAATCTGTCCCCCGCACGTGGATACGTCCTATTACACACACATATGCAAATACCTGCCGCAGGCGGCGTCTATGCAAATACTCGCCGCGAGTATATCGAAAGCGCGCGCGTTCGATGAACATTCGGGACGTTCCATATCGCGACGTCGTTTCGACCGCGCGGAGGCGAAACGGGAGCATTCGATGATGGCTTGCTTGCTTGTGTGTTGCTTCCACACACAGACACACAGGCATTCTTACCGAAGCATCTCAGATCTCTCTTACGTAAGGCTCTCTGTGTAAGCGAAAGTCATTGAGTGCGTGCGAATATCTCGGAGCGATCGGACTTGCGTCGGCTCCGCTTTCCCACGGGGCGCAATTTTTCGTTTTACGACGATTGTACCGCCGAGTAACTTTCCGCCGAGTGACAGACTTTCTACGACTGTGCTATTCCGCCGCTCTCGATCTCCGCTCTATCTCCACCGATCCGTGACGCAATCGCATTGTTATCGCGTCCGTCCGCGTTAATTAAATCTCGGAAGTCTCGACGCGCCTGATCGACGCGCGCGATCCGTCCGCTCGTTTATCATCTTTTGCATGAAGCCGTTATGGCATGGGATCGAGGGGGGATGGAGGGGAGGTTTGCTGGGGTTCTTATTGCCGTGGCTTCAAAGTTGTCGTCCCGCTCGTGGAATTTCCGTCTGTACCGTAAAAATCGATGGCACCGCTTGCATGGCTCGTAAAAGCTTGTGTGGTTATATATCGCGAAATTTATATCTTGAAAGCACGACCGCGAGAGCGAATGTCTGAAGCTCGCGCGCGTGTCGCGCTGATGCAACGAGCGCCGTAAAATTTAATAACACCCCCTCCCCCCGCTTCGTACTCAGGCGTGACGGGACAGCCCGGGGTGGATTACCCAGCCCTCACGTCGATCCCGGCCACTTCATTCAGCTGTCGCGGCCTGAGAGGCGGATATTACGCGGATTTAGAGACAAATTGCCAAGTAAGTGGTATATCGATATCATGTATCTCGATCGAAGGAGCGATCTGTGACCGTGAACGCGTAGAAACGTATCAGGAATGTAGGATAATCGCGTTCGTTTGAATGAACCGATTCGATCGTCCGTGCAGAAAATGAAAGATCTCGAATTTAATCGAATCTCTGTCGGGACCAATTTTGTTTCATTTCGGAACGAACGAACGAACGAATGTTTGTTGGGCGGAGTATTCGTCTGTTCGCTCCGCTTCGAAAGACAAATTTGTTTCGGTAGAAATTGTTCGGTTCTTGAGGCGATAAATTGCAATTTCTTCCGAATAATTATTCGAAAGAAGTAAACGACACCTTAGGAAAATATTCAAGAGCTTCTTTGTATCGGTAGAACAATATTTAATATATAATGAAAGAAGTTTCTTTTTATTGAAAACCAAATATTATTTTCTCCAAATCATACATCGTAAATACGTAATATATTTAATATATAAACAAAATATAAAACGTACGCGTTCAACTGCGTAGAGTAGCACAGATAACACGCGCAGCGAAATAACACAGTTGCGATTAAAGTAAAAATGCGTGGAAAGTGACCGGTGAAGCGTGTGTAAAAATTACACTCTTGGATTCGCGGCACAGAAGACGACTGCAAACGCGGTGATTGTTTTCTCATCTTCCTCCTCCCCCGGCATAAATTTTCTCTAAATTGTCTCATTGTAACTTGTCAATTTTTCCCACGCCGGATAAGATTCGGAGAGCGCGCGCGCGAAAACAAAGATGCGTTCTACGCGCGGAACGTTTATGCGATCGTCGGGAAGCGATTAAATTTCTGCCGCTCTCGTCCACGGGTGCTTTACGGTTGACGAGAGCGAGAGAGAGAGACACCTCACCGACGCTGAACGTGTTTCCAGGTGTTTCACATCTGCGACAATGGACGCAAAATCTCGTTCCTGTGTCCCAACGGCACCATCTTCCAGCAGTCGCAGCTTATATGCGACTGGTGGTTCAAAGTGGACTGCAGCAAGTCGACGGAGCTGTACGAGCAGAGCGCGGAGCAGTTGGCCGAGGAGGAGAGGAAACGCGCGGACGCGAGGAAGATGAAGTCCGAGTTCCATCGCACGCTGGTCGGGCAGCAGGACGGTTACTACGAGAGCGCCGACTACGACGGCAGGCAGAACGGCAGGACGAATCCGTACGGTCAGGAGGTGTCCGCGTTCGGCCCGAACAACGTATTCGACGACCGTTACCACCATCAGCGGGAGAAGAGCGAGGCATCGGGCGAGAGGACGACGAAGCAGTCGCGACGGTACCACGAGGCCGGGTCGAATTACCAGGCGGGCAATCACCTGGTGGACGCGAGCGGCAAGTTCCAGGACAGCCGGCCGGGCGATCAGAGCGCGTACGGCGACGCGCACCGGGCGAACTCGGGCCGCGAGAAGCCGAGGAACTCCAAGTCGCGCGGCCCGACGCGCAACAACCTGCTCGGCTCGAGTCAGCCGCAGAAGGCGACCCCGAGCTACACGGAGACGACGACCTTCCGGAGCACGACCGCGTCGCCGCCGAGGGAGTTCCAGCAATTCGCGGAGAGCGCGGCGTTCGTGTCGAATCGGGGGAACCGGTTGAACGACGGCAAGTCCGACCGGCAGTTTTACCACCACTCGTACGAGCAGCACCGCCTCGAGGACCGCGAGACGAGCACCGTGACGCAGCGGGAGTTGGACGAGGACAGCAACAGGGTGTCGTTCACGCCGAAGACCGGCGCCCCGCAGTACCCCGGGCCGACGTACGCGCCGATCTACAAGCCCAGGACGACGACGATACCGGCGTACGAGACGACCCTGCAGTACGCGCCGACGACGGGCTTCTACAGGCAGGAGGAGACGACCACCGGCGAGCCGGTGACGGCGTCGACCGACTACCCGACCACCGAGTCTACGACTTACCCGCAGACGCCGGCGTCGATAGGCCGAGTGCCACCCGCGGCCAACTACCCGCAGCAGTACGCCGACGCGACCACCCGGCCGAACACCGAGAGCTACGATACGTCCGAGGCGTATCCTTCGTCGACGCCTTACGAGGGCACGGAGTCGTCGCCGAGCTTCCGGCAGAACTCGATCAGCTCGACCGAGAAACCGTGGCGGAGCACGAACGTCTACCAGCAGAGCGGCTCCACCGGCAAGACCCTCAGCCCGTACGACACCAGCTTCACCTACAAGCAGGGCAAGGTGCTGTCCACCCTGGGCCCGTACGTGCCCTTCACCAAGAACTACGTCTACTCGTCGACGATGAGCAGCACGCCGAGGCCGGCGATCACCGCGTCGACCTACAGCCCGACCATCGCCGATTACCGCATCACGACGAGCAATCTGATACCCAAGGTGAAGTCGACGAGCAGACCGAAGGACCGGGCGACCTACCTGCCGGAGACGAGCACCGCGCTGGAGGACAGACCGTACGCCGAGCGCGAACACGCGCTCAGCATGCTGCATTCCCTCCAGGGTCTGGAGAGCAAGGCGAGCGAGAAGAGGCCGGCGGCCCCCACTTCCCGGAACATTCCCTTCGGGCCGTCCACCCTGCACTCGTTGGCCCTGTACTTCGCCACGGCCGGCGACGACTCGAACGAGACCGCCGAGCAGCCCGGGGAGACCGGCTCGGTCGAGCTGCCCACCAGCATCCTCACGCAGCACACCATCGCCTCGTACGCCGAGCTGTTCAACCTGAACAACGCGCTCGAGGGCAACGGGACGGAGAGCGAGCTGACGGCTGAGGCCGACGACGACGAGGTCGGCGAGGACCTCGAGATCGAGGAGAGCGAGGGGCCCCTGAACGCCGCGAGGAAGACCAACGGCACCAAGCTCCGCGAGCTGGCCCAGGTCTTCACCCACGCCCTGTCGGCGTACCTGCAGGATCCGGACACCTTCAAGAAAGTCCTGACGGAGATCAGGCCGACCGAGCCGACGACAACGGACGGCGGCCAGTCCGCCGACGCGACGACCTTCTACCCGACCACCGTGGAGGAGTACTCGTCGGTGACGAAGGAGAAGGACGAGGTGCTCGACTTCTCGGACGACTCCGCGAGGAGGCGCAAACCGGCCACCACCACCGACAGATCGCACACGACGTCCCACGACGACTATTACTCGACGTCGGCCAGCCAGACCACGCGGAAGTCGGTTCACTACCCGAGCACGACGCTGCTGCCGCCCGGCGACTCGACGGAGACGACGACCCAGGTCGCGGGAGGCAACACGTTCGCCTACGAGGTGAATCACGTCTTCGGCACCACCGCTGCGAGCGACATCCGCGGTTTCGACGCGAGGGACTCGACCGACCTGTCGCCGGTCTACGACAACTACTTCCCTTCGTCGGAGGACGAGGACGGCTCGCGCAACAACAGCTTCCAGCCGTACGGGAAAAACGTCAAGCCGGCGGACGCTACGCCCATCAGCAACTACGTGGCGTCGTCGACGGTGGCGTCCTACCAGCCTCCCCTCGGCGCGAGCACGTCCAGCTGGGGCAAGGGTTCGGCCGGCGACAAGCCCGTCCAGGACCTGACGCCGCCTCATTACCAGCGCTTCGGCAACGTCAAGAGCTTCGAGGTCTCCAACAGCATCGTGCCGAGCCAGCCGACGACGCCTTTGCCGAGAATCGAGCCGACCTACGAGGCCGCCAGCAGCACCGTTCACCCCTTCAGGATACGCTATTACGAGTCGACGCCGTCGCCGGAGGACCGGCAGAGCCCGGAGTCCCTCGTCACCGCTCGCAGCTCGTACGTGAAGTTCCGGAACAACCGCATCGAAGGCAGCCGCAAGCCGGCGGAGAACGTAGCGACGACGGTAGCGACGGTGACGAGCCGAGACGTCACGGCGACCGTCAGCGACGTCACGCCCTACACCGGCACGTCGGCCAACACGTCCGGCGAGAGCAGCTCGCTCAGCGACGACCACTGGACCTCCTCGCCGATGGTCACTCAGCTCTGGGAGACGACGGTGTTCGTGGACCCGCGTCGCGTCAACCACGGTCTCACCTTCTCCACCGACGACACTCAGCCGCCATCCACGACGGACAGCGGCGTAAACGAGCCGGAGCTCATCACCGGCGCACCGTCCACTCCGTCGACCTTGCCCCCCGAGGACAACACGGGCGAGACGACGACCAGCAGCCCCTGGCAATGGGCGCCGAACGACAACAACTCGCCGGTGGCGTTCACTCTTCTGCCGACGACGTTCGCAGCGGAGAACACGGCGAGCCCGATCATCGCGACGCGATCCAGCGTCACGACCACGATCACGTCCTCGGTCACGACCGATTCCGTCTCCCGCGGGACGAACCCGCCGTCCTCCAGCCTGCCGCCCTTCACGGTGACCGCCGGCCGGTGGAACGCGACCGAGAACGAGGCGATGAAGGCGCAGGAGATGTTCGGCAAGCTGAACGAGACCAGCTCCGACACGCTGATGCGAGTGATGAAGCAGGCCGACAACAACGAGACGGTGAGGCAGCTGGTGCTGCTGCTGATAAACCACTGCAACGGGCCCAGGAACAAGACGATGGAGCAGGAGAAGGAGCAGCTGCTGGACGCCCTCCTGAGAATGCCCGTCAACGAGTTCAGCTCGGAGGAGTCGCGGGAGATCGTCGCCGGTATCAGCAGGCTCAGCCTGCCCATTGGTACGTGCGCATCGTTGCACCTTCGTCGCGTTTAACCGCACCCGGGGAAATATCGTAGCGAAAATCCCGTAATTGCCGGAATACATTGCGAAATTGTCATCGCACTTACTGCGCGCGTCGTATATCAATCGTTTCCATTCACTTTTCCCATCGGTTATTTCCAAAGAATTTCACGATATCACGTCCCGTAATCGTAAGTCGCCGAACGATCGGTCGCGCGTATGCCAGCGTCGCTGCTTCAAAGCGATATTTCCTCGTCGTAACGCCGGGGGCTTCTTTTCCCAACTGATTTTCCCGGTGTGTCTCGCTTACAGGTAAAATACGAGCGGCCGGTGCGGCGAGCAGCAGCACGACGACGACGACGACCAGGGCACCCCGAGCGTCATCCGTGAGACCGACGTCGTCCGAGCCATCGATCACGACGTTCCGCAGCAGCAGGGCGGGACGGAGGTTCCGCACGACCACCGAGAGTACCAACGGCTTCGCCAGGAGATCGGACGAGGACGTACCTGCGGACGCGAGCAATTCTCTGTCGGAGGACGAGACCGTCGCGTCCGACGGCAGGGCTCTCGAGCTCCTCAGGTCGCTCTACACGGTAGCCGCTAAATGGGGCTGAGGGGGCCGCATAATCGATCGGAACTGCGCGTAGACGTCGGAAGACTCGCGAGACGAAGGTCTCGCTGGAGTACCGGAAGACGTTCCACCCGTCGACGACAGACGTCGGAGTAGATCGTTGCTGTCACCCCGCGTCGCTCCGCTTAGCTAAACTCTTCGACCCTTTAAACTCACGGACTCCGCGCCCCGAACGTTAAATCGGTTTTGATCTCGGCCCGTAAATCGACTACGTGAGAAACAAACGAGAGAACGCAATCCACGGGTGATCTCGTTCGGGGACGTCCGGCAACGTCCGATCCGGTATATTCGCGGGAAGCGCCGGGAATTCTCCTCTCCCCCTTTCTTTCTCTCATCTCTCTCTTTTTCTTTTTTCTTTTCCAAATCATCGCGCACACGTGCGCACGCGCTTTCTCACACGTGCGGCACCGACGAATTGGGTGAAGATCCGGCGGCACACCTGCGTCCCTCGAATCGATAGCGCGCTGCGTCGCCGGTGAAGTTCGATTTAACTTAGGGCCGAGATTGACTTGAACGATTTTCACCACCGCGCTCGCGGATATCAAGTGGAAGTCGTAACGACCACCGGTTTCGGCAACGTCGACTGCCGGTTGCTTGGTACCCGCGATCGATCGCTGTCGGTTAACATGCGGAGTCCCGGTCGATCGATAAGATCGCAGTAACAATTAACCCGCTACGTAGTCCGACGCGTTAAGAGATTATTAATGTATTACTATCGCCGTCCTCTTTATTAAGAATAAAACGTCTCGATCGCCTCCGGACATCGGCAGAAAAATATTACCTGCAAAAATGCCTGCCATACTTCGTCCCTCTCGTTCAACTACTTCGTGTGAGTGCTGCTGTACGGATATTCTAACTTAACTCTCTCATTACCAAATGCTTTTCTACACACACATGTATATGTATATTAAAGAAAGTACGTAAATTTTATTTACTCTTAGCGCGCAGCAATATAACGGCAGAATTTCTCGCATTTTTCTCGCGTCTGATTTTCTCCGCAACTTTTTCCAATCAATCGATTCGTTCGATTACACCGAGCGAGCGGAAGAGTGTCGCGATATGTATTTCGAGAGAACGATTTTGCGAAAAAAAAAAGGAAAAAGGGAAAAGCACAGTTTGAACAAAAATCCGTGCGATTCTGCGTTTGTCTATTTTTTTTCTTTCATTCTCTATGCGATGCAATAAATAAGATCGCGCTTGGAGTGAGAGAGTTAATTCTAATCTAATCTGATGTAATCGTAGAGCGTCGGACAGAGGCATAGAGCATGTCTGATCGCGAATCGAACTTATATCCGAAGCATAATACTATACTCATTGTAAAATAGCGAAATGTCCTTGCATGCCAACGTAAAGGGGGTGAAAGCATTTTGCATGGCTGGTCCGCTCCTCTAATAATGTTCGCCGGGTACATTCTCAATTTGCGACTCGTCTCCGTTGAATTGTACGCTTGAGATTGGCGGGATGTGGTGGCGCGTGGTGGTGAATTGCGCGCGGCTCCTCGCGTCGAACCTCCTACGTGACACAATTTCATCCCCTTCTCTCGTGCCTCACCTTTTCTCGAACGAGAAAATCCCGCTCTCCCGTTTCTCACCTTCGAAAAGTCCGCGTTCATTTTCAGCCGGCGTCAAATCCGTATTCACGAGCTGCTTCCGCAACCGACTTCCGATTACCGGGCCGAAAACTGTCACGTATATTCAGTATTACGAAAAGAGCCCCGAGGGTATTCCCGGGCGTGTCCGGCTGATATCCGCGGAAATTACACACATTCGCCTTCGCGAATAACTCCTACATGTACCGGCTAACAATAAGCTACTTGTATCCTGAAATTACGGTGTTGGTAACGTTCCCTTTCGTTTGGCCAGCAATTCGAGGTCAGCGATCCCGCTTCCGCTGCGATCCCGAAACGCGTCCAAACGGGGTTTCTAGGTCATTATTTAAGTACGCGATCCAGCGTGTAGTTCGTATCGACTTTATGTAATATACCTTTGTACAGTATGTGAATAAATAAACAGGGTTTTGTTTATCCGCCGCTTCTCGCTCGTCAAACGATCCTCCGTACTTCCCGTTCTGGGATGAAACTGGGTTGACACGGGTTAGATGTCAATGTTACCGCTGATATCATCGGCAATTCGATACTGCGTAGTAAAAGCAAGCCGATTGATTCGTAAGATTGTTCAATATCGAGCCGTAAAGAGCCGAAGCGGCTTTCCTCGAAAACACCGAAATAGTTGGAAACGGAAAATATCATAAATAATGAATTTCGCTCCGAGGAAACGAGAATTGTCAACATTGCGTCGTAAAGAACCGAAATACGGGTGCTGGTAAATAAAAAGTAACGTGTTTTCACTTTGACGTTAACACTAATCTAACCCTGATTTGTTGATTAACACTGTAATACCCGTGTTTCGCCTCTTTACGGCCCGATATATTGATAATTCGAATTTTCTCGTAGCCAAATTAATTATTCACAATATTTCTCGTTTCCGTCTATTTTGGTGTTTTTGGGGAAAGTCTCGTGGCGAAGTTAAAGTTCGCCGTCTCTATCAGGGGGCATCGTTAAGGCCGACTCGGCGAGACGTGAGAAGAAGCCGTTTGTGCTTTAAATATATAGGCTACCGCGGATGTGACACTGCGACAATGTGTTAATAACTCAAATGCGAACTCACGGGCGGGTCATTAACGTTTTTGCGGCGGGTCCTGGGAAGGACGGGCGTGGAGAAACGGCCACGGTCGTCGACGATTGCGCGGACACCGAAAGAACAGAGGACCTTCTGCTTTTCCTCTTCCACGCCGCACACACATCCTGACATCCGGCGATTCACACGCGCGCGCACGTTCACCTGGGCAGAATTTTTTTTTTCCAGGACTCTCACGGCTCGCTTAACATAAATGTTGAGATCCGGACGATCCGTTTAAGGGTGAATTAACGTGCGCACGCGAGCGCACAGGAACGCCGCGAGAGAATCGCGAACGGATTTCCACAATACAGTCCCTGTCCATTATTATTATCAGACGCACCTGAATATTTTACGTTTCATCGACTCCCGAGGACCAGCTTTATAATACGGCTAATCCGTCGATCGAATGATGTAAAAGAAACCGTTATTCTATAAAAGGTACTTTTTATGACGTCATTTCACTCGGCTGTTACAATGAACAAGTACGAAGCCGCGACAGTTGCGTCGTTGATAACAACGAAAACAGACGTGAGTTTTGAGTACTTGCCAATTGAAATTTACTTTTACTTTCGTGTATTCGTGACTTGAAACTTCAAGTTCCTTGCTTACTAACTAGAGAGATGAATTTTGTGTGAAAAGTATCGATATTGCTTACAAACATTCTGGGTAAAGCATGTGATTCGACACCTTCGTGAGGTTGCAGAGGTAAGAGCGCAGTTTGACACCGGAAATTATTCCAATCGAGTGAAAACAAAATCAGTGACTTCCCTTCTCCCCCCGAGTTGTATTCTATTAAAGGATCCGAGTGCGTCTAACAATATGGCCAGGGACCATACGTCATAAGATGCATTTAGAAAAGGATGGCTCGAAGCGAAAGAAGCGAGCGCATCGCGAAGAGAAGAAAAGAAATTACACACGGGTCGGAGGCCACTGCAAATGGCTGATTAATATTTCTAAAGACACGGGCTTACCGCGGCCGGATCGCATCGCAAGCAGGATGCGGGATTCTCCGTCACGTGGAACGTTATTACAAAACTACCCTACAAGGACGGCACTTTTTCGCGTCACGCTCGATCGCTCGGTCGCCTCACGGCTGTTGCCGGCAGCGATCCATCCAGGAAGGTATTCTGCAGATTGACGATAAGTGACGAAGAAGGAAAGATAACGCGCACGTATCGCGTGATGAGAGAATCCGTGATTCAAATTTGCGGATTTCGAGTTATTTCTCGCCGCGAAGAGATAAACGTCCGTACGTGGGAAAGAGATCGGTATCAATTCAAGACTCGTATTCTCATTACAAGCAAGAATGTACAGGGTGAGTCGGTTAAAGCGTTACAAATTTATTATCTCGGAAACAAAGCATTCCCGAGAAAAATTCTTCGTACGAGAGTTTCGTGACTTCTTGTTACCCAAGAATAATTTTCATGAACTGAAAGAGGAAAATATTAAATAGAATAAATGATATTTTCACTCTGATACAATTCTTAATTTGAAGACATCCCTCTTCCTGTCCAATTTTTTTCCGAATTAGTAAAAATTATTCTTGAATAACAAGAATACGATATTTTTATCGGAACTATGTGGAATTTCTTCGCGTAAGCAAAACACTTTTTATCTCCACATAAAATTAGATATTCTTGCTTATGCACGAGAATATGAGCCTGGAATTCTTACAATTTAATTTCTATTCCCTGCAAATCAACTTCTCTCCTCGGACAAACTTCGGGAAGAAGAATTTGATTTTTTTTTCCAAGGAAAAGAACATTTTTAGCCGCGCTCGCAAGCAGTCGGCCGCGGCATTTCGAGCGTGAGCGTTTCGAATCCAAGTAATCCCGTGACGCAATCTTCGCCCGCGGTGCGAAAGGACATCCGCCCTCGGCAAGAGCGAGGCCGATTCGCCGCCTCTCGACGCAACATATTCAAATTAATCTGCGGAGATCGGTATCCGGATGAAGAGTTACGAGAGGCAGGAAGAGGTCTGCCGCTTGAACATCTCCGCTTTTTCCGCAAACGTAAACGAAACCGCCCGGTCGCCCATTACGTAATTGTGCCGGAACGAATATCGCGTGTTCGCGCGCAACAAGCGTCCGACGACAATAAGTATAAAGCGAAGGCATTGTTGCAGAACGGCCTATAAATCACCCTCCTGCGAGCCTCTGCTGCCTCTTTTTTCCGTTTTCCCTCTTACGGAGATCTATCTTGACATTTTTTCTCCTTCCTTTTGGAGCCGATGCGTTACGCTAAGAAGAGAGAGACTAATTTACATATAATCACAGCTGTCGGGGGTTGTTCTTAAAAATCACCGTTAAGGATAGACAACGCGGCGCTGCGTTCTGACAGTCGGGAATGCATTTGTGCTCAGCACGCTGCGAGGGACGTGCGCTGCGAGGTTCCGAATGCGAAGTAATGATAGTCACTATCGGCACGGTAATTTCGCGTAATAGACCGTAACATCGTGCGAACGCGCGCGACCGGTGGATCGCGAGGAGGCTGTTTTTGCTTCCTCGGGAGGAGGAACGCCATATAAAATCAGCAGAACTCGATCGGCATATTTAATTCTGAGCCCGTCGAACGACTAATCCGGGCATCCAGCCGTGGAATGCAGAAGGTCAGGATTCTCCATTTCCTTCGGAATGACTCTCGCGTTTTACGTTACACGCTGACCCAGTCCCTTCCCAAACGGCTCGGGTTGCGCAACGACGCGTTCGGTTGTGCAATGCCGATTAATATGCATGCCTTTTGTAATACTTAGGTAGCCGGCCCGTCGTGTCGGATTTTCAATGGCGATATATCAAGGGGCCTTCCTTGTGAGTTTATTGTTTATTGAAGAATACGTGCTTTCCCACAACTTTAGTTGACTATCTAAGTAACTAATGTTAGTTCCGACATTAAGACAAATACAAACGTGGAGATATTATTTATTTTTTCTTTCTCTTATTAAATCTCATTTATACGTCAGTTGAACTAAGATACGCATAACAGAAAGTCGTATGTAAATATTTAAATCTGTATATACGCGCATATACTTCGAGTATTAGTACGAAGTTTTAAATTTTTTACGGTTATATTTTCAGATCAAAATGGTCGATAATTCTGAAATTTTTGCATAATGTCTCCATAATGGTCCTTAATATCACAGTGGCTTTTCATTCAAATCTCAAGTGTGGTTTACGCTAAATTAAAAATTGCAATTAAAAATAAAAATAAAATATCTGTTGAGGTAAGTAAAACATCAAGGAATATGTATAAAAAGTGTCATCTTTAGTTACGAATATCTCAGCTTCGGAATAGTCAATCGTTTTCGAAATTTTACGAGTTGGATTCTTAAATGTTAATTTTCAGAAAATGTCACGTGGCATCGTTAAATGGGCTTCAGAGATTACGGTACTAATTAGAAGATTTTCCGGATGCGAAACGCTGAAATGGCTATTATTAGTTAAAGAGGAGTAAACAGTTAAGATTTGTGCCGCGTCAAATATCAAGACAGAGAAAATCAAGATTATCCGGTTGAGGGATTTAGACCAAAATCTTCTCTGTCTCGTTGGACTTTTCCAATACCCACCGATGGCTTTAAGATGATTTTCCTCGCACACCCCGAACAGGACAACCGGGAACGAGGCCGGGATCCGATTCCGAACGTGGATCTCGTCTGTACAATTATCTTCGCGCTCTGCTGGTGAGGCAGTAAAAGGTCGCGGTTGATGCAATCGACCACGTTATACCCTGCAGAGTACGCGGTTAGATTACGGCCGTATTGGCCAATTGCCAGAGCTCAATTAAGGCTTTTTAGTTTTACGAGCGCTCATCGGCGCTGCTCGTAACACACCGGCGCGCGGATTATTGTTTAAATATATAGATCATATCGACTCCCTGACGCGCAAACATTAAACTCGATAATGCCCGTCAACGTGCCTGTGTAAACACACCTGTGCATAGCGGAACGACGTGCGAGAAATATCGACGATAATGACGCCGCTCGATGCATCATTCGCTATGCAAGAAAATCACGATCGAGAATCGCATTAAGCAATTTTATTGAAAGAAGAAAATAAAATTAAAAAAAAAAATGAAACTAGATCTTCTAGTTGTTCTGTGTGTGTGTGTGTTTTTTTTACATATTAAGATATCAAGATTCGGCAAGATCGACGGATTCGTGCACAGGGGAAAATTTCTTTAGATTTAGTATTTCTATTTATTTGAGTAAAATTTGTTTCATAGAAACAACATATACGAAATATTTGTTTGAGTAAAAATGTCATCGTCTCGTTCAAGAAAACTCTGTTAATTAACAGAAAGAACGCTGTTAATGTGAAATATTATCTTTTAACCGAATAAAATATTATTT